CCGGAGCCAGTCCAGGGAGGGAGAAGGGCTTGACCGTGACTGTGGTAGCACCGTGTTCCGAGTCACCGGGAGACTCAGAGCCAGCTTGTGGCCTCCCGGGACGCCGGGATGCCCTCCCCGCTCAGGAGTGACCTCTAGCCCGCATCAGGGCAGCCCGCTGCCATGGGGGCGCCTCCAGGCAGCCTCCTGCTCTTCCAGACCGTCCCTTTGCACGAGACAGGAGCACCCCTCCCGCTCCCCAAACCCACGTGCCAAGCTGCAACATAGACACTCACACACATGCATACCCTGCTGCCAGGCAGACACGGTAAATTCCTTATTCTGAAACAAAAGCAGCACCTTCTCCGTTTCTTCCTCCAGCACCGAGCTCCCCCAGCTGATGTGACACCCCTCCCACCCCCTCCGCCGCATCCAAGTGACAGCCCCCACCCTCTCCAGCTGCTTCCCCAGCCTGAGAGCACCTTCTCCCACCCTCTCTGAGTCCTGCTCCTCATGTGCTCTAACATTTCCATCCGTCACCACCACCATCGGACCCCACTTCCCTCAGCCCCCCGCCACGTGGCCGGCCCGCCCTCCTCCACCATCGGACCCCACTTCCCTCAGCCCCCCGCCACGTGGCCGTCCGCTCTCACCCTCCGGGCCTCAGCTCACACGGCATTTCTTCAGGGCGCAGCCTGTGCCTGACCCTCACCCACCCCGGCTGGGGCACACCGGCTGGCTCAGGCTGGCCTGGCCCCTGGCACCAGGCACAGAGTCCTCTGTGCAAATATTTATTGGGTCAATATTTTGTTTTATTGTTTTTAATCAAATTTTATTGACTTGCCATTGTCTTACAAAACTACATTTTATAGTTTACAAAATCACAACTTTATACGTCAACATGAGCAACTGTTACGAATGAACAAGCAGCACCCCGTGGCCCTCCAAACCCCATCCAGTTCAGAGCGACCCGCCTTCGCAGCCCTGGCGGAGGAAGGACAGACAGAGGCGCAGGACAGAGGCACTGGGCGGGCCCACGGCCACCTGCCCCGCCCCCAGTGATGCCAGCCGGCCCCCACCACCCCGCAGGGACTGCCAGCTCCCCTGGAGCCACTGGGGCAGCCGGCCAGCTGTTGAAAGCCACGAGGGCTGCTTTGGCTTCCCCCTGGCGGTTCGGAGAGGCTGGTGAGTGCTCACAGTGCTCTAGATACGATTGCAAACCCGCAGGCCCATCCGTCAGCTCTGGCTGTGGTCTCCATGGGAAATCACTCCTCGGGTCAGCAAGGCCAGGAAGCATTTCATTAGCCTGGCAATTGACAACAACCTGCATTTCCTTGAAAGTCCCTCTGGGACTTTTGCTTTTCACCACCTTTCAATCACGCAAGCAAAGGGAAACTGGCCTGAGGTGTGTGTGAGCCCTGTGCTGGCCCAAGGGTGCCACCTCCGATGGCTCTGAGGCCGGGGGCCCCCTGCACATGGTGGCCTGACAGGGGTGAGGTCCTTCACGCCTCATAGAGGGCTTATCCCAGGGGTCACTGTGGGTCATCCACACATATCTGTGTTGCATGGCCTGGTGTGGACACAGCTGAGCACTGACCGTGGCCAGGACCCAGGACAAGCTCAGAAGAGGCCCCCAGGAAGGGCCTGATGAATGAGGGGAGAGGCCCCCAGAACCTCAAGAAAGGGCCCCTGAGGGGGGACTGGAGAAGTAGGGTGACAAAATAAGGCAGGCATAAGGTGACACCAGGGAGAAGCCAGCGCAGGACTAATCCCCAGCCTACCCAGGGGGAAGCTCCGTGGCATGAAAACATGCCCGGCCACCCTGGCATCAAGACCGTGGGCCCCCGGGGCCACAGTTTGGTGGGTCAGAAGTGCAGACAAAATGGAAGGTGGACTTTTCTGTAGTAGTGAAAAATAGGATGTGAACGGGAATTCCAGCAAACACACCAAGAAACATCACTCACGTCATTAAACCTTGCAGAATTTAGTGGCGCAGGACAAAGCACAGCCCACTGAAAGTGTGGGCTTGGGTCCAGGGCCAGGTCTCCCCGGACTGGCGGCTCCTTAGTGCCCACCAACTGTGTGGCTATTTCTCGACAAACCCCGGCACGACCGAGGACATAGCACTAAGCGTCATGTGTCACCTCAATAAGCTGCAGGGGAGCCGCTCTGTGCCAGGCCCCGGCTGGAGAGAGCTGCCAGTTTGGCCAGAGGTAGAACTTATCTCTTGGACTCTCTAAGACCTTGGCTCTCATAGTTTCTGCCCGTCTCGATTTCCACTGAGGGCCAACTGGAACTTAGTACCTACCAGGAGCCACCTCAGCACAAGTCAAAATCAAAATGTCTCTGAAACTCTATTCACACGTCTCCAAGCTTCTCACTAGATGGGGGGATGTTGACCTCCATGCACCTCCAGGTAAAGTTTCAAGCTAGAGACGGGCAGTTCCTCCGGCTTCCCACCCTGGGAAAGACACGTTCACTCGACTGTCCACCTCGCCCGTGGCCTGGCTAGCACTCAGCACGGAGGCTCACGGCCGCGAGGCCGAGGTGGCCCTACTCTCCTTCGCTAGCTGGGGCCAGGTGCTGCCGCTGCTGCGGCTGGGACCCACGGGGACAGCCCAGGTGAAGCCAGGGGCTGCGAGCACGGCCATGAGCACCTGCTGGCCAGCTGGCCCGTCCTCCGGCCCCTCTGCAAGCCTGGTTCAGACACAGCATGTGAGTGACTGGATGCTGAAGAGCCTGCACCCCGTCGGCTTCAAGTCATACCCGCGGTGGGTACGTGGATTTGGGAGCAAGCTGCTCTGCCCCACCTGCTCAGGACACACCTTCACCAGCCGGGAAGAGGCTCAGGTGCCGGCAGGCCCGGCACGGCCGAGTGACACCTGCCTGCTGGCCCGTGGCCACCCCGACTCCCACCCACAGCTGTCAGCCCCTCCACCCCCGTGAGAGACGTGAATCTTTGTTTTTGCCACTTAAATGGGTGAGGAAAGCGAGACGCCAAGAAGTACAGTGACTTCCCGAAGTCACAGGGCTGGTCAGCGGGCATGCGGGACTCACACCTGCAGCCTGGCCCGGAGCCCGTCTCCCACGGCCAGCCGCCCGTAAGCTCCGCCCTGCTGCAGAGTACGCGGCGCCCGACACATGGACACTGTCAGAGTGTAAATAAGATGTAAACCTCGTTGGCTGGGTGGGCAAGAGTTTAAGATTGTTCCTGTTGATGGTCATGAGTAAGTTTAAATAATCCAGCAGTCAGCGGTCACCCGCTATCGGCAGCTGACGGTCCTCCGGTGAGCTGGTGTATGAGTGTGGAGAACATCAAAGCTCTGCACACCGCCCGTGTCCGGACACAGGGCTGGCTGGGCGTGTCTGAGAAATGGCGTCTTACCTGCCCACCAGGGCCGGAAACGCCAAGGTCACCCATGAGTAACATAAGACAATTTGCGGTTAAATGGTTAAATGTCACTCTGAACGGGATGGGAACTAAATTGTTCTCACCCTCAGGAAAACGCTCCGGGCCACACCAAACCAGCCAGCTCACTCTGTTCCCATCAATTATTCATGACAGTGGTGAGTGTGATACTTGCAGGCACTTCAAAGATCAAGGACACCATCCCCAGAAGTCTCCACTCCAGGCTGGCCCAGTGTGGCCGTCTGTGCCGGAGACCGACGCACGTCCCCTGCAGCCGGGTGAGAGCCAACCCTGCTCTGTTACCAGGGACTCCCAGTTGCCACACTGTTGAAGTCTGACTAGATGGAGAAACTGCAAGGTTCCTGATGTCACTCACCCCGGTGTGGCCCCCTCCCCCCACCCAGACACAGGAGAGAAGCAGGAGGCAGGTTCCCTCTGCTGACAGTCCCCTGGAATAAGGAGCAGTCAGAGCTCCTTGGGGCCCTGAACCCCTATTGTCTTCACAGGGGCCAGGAATAGCAGCAATTCTCGGGCGAGATGGAAACAATCATGGGTAATGAGTTTGTTCCCAATTGGCAAGGCTTTAATCTAAAGTCCTGGCCTTGAGAAAATGTGTTTTACACTCTCAAGGCATTGACCAGCTAAGACTCTCATTGCGATAAGTCTTTGCATCAACTCTGTTCTGTAGGGCAGCGGAGAGAGAAAGGTCCCCTGCTCTCAGCTGAAGGACCTTCACTCTGAAAAAGCTGGTGTTGGCTATAAGGAATCCCAAATTCAATCAAAACAAGAACTTTCATTATTCCTCCAGACCCTCGATGTTCCTCTCTTGCTTCTAAATCACACAAGTCCTGAGCATGTTTTAGAAGCTGAAGAAACTGAAGGAAGCATAGAATGTCAAAGCTACTGTTCTCGTATCAAAGAACACAGACTGTGTGAATGCACTCTGAATGGGTGTTACATGATGCTTCACCACAGTCTTCATGTAGGAAACTCTTATGGAGTCCACAGTAGTTTTGAGCACCCAGGATCGTTTGAGCTACATAGTTGAAGAGTTAAGATACCACTGAATCTTTAGTCAATCTCATTTGAGGAAATTTATGATTCTGTCAATCAGGAAAAAAAGCTACCATTATATTTTAAATCATTTAAAATCAAACACAATAAGTCCACAGAGTGCTAACTGATCTGTGAGGTAGCATTCTGTTTATCCACACAGATCATTGAGAAATTTTAAGTTTTGTCTTGCAATTGAGTTTTACTTTCATAGAGAGGCCAAATGAGGCCCTTGTCAGTCACAGAATTTGCCTCTATCTGCAAGTTAGCAACTTCACTGTGCATGGAGACAGGAAAAGCAAAAGTTGGCAACATACCGGTGGAGGTCTACGCGGCAGGCTCGTTCCTCCTTCAGAGTCTGCTGGTCTGATCCCCCAGCAGAAGGAAGAAGAAGGCTTTTATAACTGAGCCTTCTCGGCCCCACCTACCCGAGCTTCTTTTAAGAGGAGGAGCAAAAGCAAAAAAAAATAAAACCTTAAGCCACTGAAAAAAACTCTGAAAGCCAAGGCAGACAGCAGCAATTTAGCGATTGTATCCGAGTGAGGGATGCACCATTCTAGAGCGGAGTATTTCAGGGCTCAGAAACTAAGACACGAAGTCCCCACTGTCGACTCGCCCATAATATCACAGCATTAAATCACACTAAAGCTTAATTCTACAATTTGTGGCATTTCAAAACCACAAATGAAATAGGAAGTGCTCATTACAGAAAGTAATGGCAAGACTAATTACTAGATTAAAGACTTTAAGTTAAGATGGGGGGGAGATCTTGAAACGGTGAAATTGAACGAACACTGGATTTTTACAGACTTTGTTAACTTTCTCCCCACAAACATGAACCCTGCTAGTGCGCCTTGGGTAGTGGAGGCGGCATCCCCAGCAACGTGAGCTTTATTAATTGTCATTGTTTCCAGGCTCTGGCTGAAGCTAGCCTCCGTGGAAACTCCCTTAGGAGAGATGAACACCAGTGGCCAGAGGTAGCGACCAGTCATTTATTCAAATGATCTGCCACAAACACCGTTTCAGGGGTTTTGTTGCAGCTAATGTTCCTTGAGCACTTGCTGCCATTCCTGTGATGCACTGATGTGTGAAGCACCTGCTACAGGCAAGTGGAACTAGGGTGGTGCAGCTCGGGACCCATCACACCGAGCGGCGACTGCCAAGTGGGCGGGCTGTGGCACAGTGAGCGTCAAGGGACAGTCTCATCCCTCCGGGGGGACTGGGGCAAGGTCTGAAAGGAAAGATAGGATGCAATCAGTTAAGAGTGGTAACTCTACGCTACAGACATCACACTTGCTTCCATGGCAATGCTTCTGAGAAAAAATAAGACCTAAGACAGGAGTCGCAAACTCAAATACCCCAAGATCGGGTAGAAGTGGCTGTGACGGCCATGTGCAAGCAGAAGGCGACAGGGAAGGGGAAGGACTGTGGAAAATCGGGAATGACAAGTGTTGCTGGTGAACCAGGGGTCTTGTGAGAAGAGCTCTCGGCCTACCCAGGAGAATCCGAGGTGTCTCAAACCACCCTTAGTGTGGATCATAGGGCGGAAAGTTCCGTGTGCTTGTGACTTCCCTCCCCAAGCTCATGCTTGTGTGGACAGAGTAAATGGACTTTGTCCTCTCTGCAGCCTACACAGTATCCTCCCAGGTATTTTCAGAGACACAAGAATTAGAATCTAAAATCGGATGCATCTGCAGCCTACACAGTATCCTCCCAGGTATTTTCAGAGATACAAGAATTAGAAAGTAGAATCTAAAATCGGACGCAAACAATGAGCAGGGAGAGACTAGCAAGCTAGACAATCGCAAAGTTACGTTTATACGTCATGAAGGAATACTCCCGAAGGCAGGCGGCCAAGCGGTGGCTCTGGGCTGGCAGGGGGAAAGCTCACAGCAGAAGCAGGGCCAGCACTGAGGCGGGGTGCTGGGAAGGCCACTGAGGCGGGGGTGCTGGGAAGGCCATTAGCGTCATCACATGGCACCGCACAGCCCATCGGCAGCGTGACGTGGGGCTGGGCTCACAGCGGGGATCAGCATACACGCTGCAGGCGTAGTTTGCAGAACAGGAAGAGGTTAGTTTCCTCTGGGGTTGAAATAACCCTTGAGAGAAAGAAGGAAAGGAAAAGGAGGCTGGTGTGGGACAGAGTAGAGGCAGCGGGGAGAACCCAAGCCGGGTTTCGTGACGTGATGAGGAGGGGAGGCGAGACACGTAGGCACCAGCCAGCACAGACACAGACTCGCAGGTATAATCATAGACCTGCAGATTTGCCACTTTATTCAAGAGTCAACAAAATGCCCACGTTCCTCTCTGAGGACAAGCAAGGTGTTCTGCTTGTTTTCACCTTTTCAAGGCCAGATGGCTGCATTCTCTGTCAGTGCCAGAAGGTGGCATCTCTCAGCCAAATCTGTGTCTCCCTAGAGACACCTTCACCTGCCAGGAGCCTCAGTCTCCCGGACATGTAAGGATGGGACGGGCTCCTCGCCCCCCTGGGTGGGCACAGCCCGTCAGCGGCACCCCCACATGCATGACCGGATCCTCGGCTCTGCTGCTGCTTTCTGGGCTGTGAGAAAGCGAGTCTGGCTGGGCGGGGCGACGGAACAAGCCTCTCCCACTGGACTCCATCTCTAGGCCTGGACTTTGGCAGCCTTGCATGCACCCCAAACACGGCCATGCCCAGGGGGAGTCTGGGGACGCCGCCCCCAACACGCTTCCGTGAACTCTCCGGCACACCCCAGCCCAGGGCGCTGGGGTCTGCTCTCCCTGCCGCTCCCCCACGTGGGAGCAGCCCCTCCATCCTGGGGAGCGCACTTCTGTTCTCTGCTTGCCTCTCTGCATATAGCTCCACTGATCCGTTCGTCAAAATTGTGTGCTGGCCCCTAGAAGGCCAGCCCATGCGCTCTGCCCCAGCCCTGAGGCCCATGCACCCTGAGACACCACCATCCCCATGACGGGCACTGGGAGCATCAGAAAGAAATCTTACCCTGGGCTAAATGCCCTAGCTCAGTACGGCCGCCCACATCTGTCCAGCTCAGAACCGCTTGGGACTGGGTAACCGCCCTTAAAAGGGCGCCATTCCATGGGAACTGCGCCCCGCCCCCACTGCCCTCCTCCTCTGAGCAGGACAGTCTAGAGGAAGGTCTAGCCGAGCAGAGGCCCACGGCAGCCTGTGGCCCCAGTGAGCAGTGGCGTGGGCACAGAAACACTCTCAGGCCCCAGCAGCAACAATCTGACCTGGATCTCCCAGCCTAAGTGCATCTTCCCGCAGGCATCCCCAGCCCTGCCAAATCTATGGGGCACTTTTTAGGCAACTCAGGTATGGAACCTGACTTGAGGCAAATCCACACACCTCTACCAGCTTCCACAATTCCCTTCTGTCTGCTGGCTCCCACCTCCCATCTGCAGGGGGTCTTACCTGCATGTATGTATGTAACTTACATGCATATGAACCACCTGAGGATCTTGTTAAGTGCAGGTTTGGGTTCATCAGCAATGGGGTGGACCTACAGTGCTAATCCGTAACAAGCTCTCGCAGGAGAGGCAGCGCTTCTTCTCCAGATCCCTGCCAGCATCACGGACAGCTCCAGTGAGCCTGGTAGGAGACAAAAGAATGGTCGAGACAAAGCGCACCTGCCTGAAGATGAGCCATCAGGGAAACCCAGGGACCAAGTCCACCAAGGAGGG